ACTTTCAAATTTTGTTCATATATCTCTGCAAGTTATAAGTTACATGACATGTATTCAGTTTTTAAACGTGGCTAGATTATATGAAGTTTTGTTTATATATCTTTAATTTGTTGTTTATTTATATACTTTTTAATTTATTATTAATCTATTAATGTGTGGCTTTGTTATTTTGATATTTTATGAAATCTAACTAAACTCAATTTAGCATCCACTTGGACTTTAAATTTGGTCTTATACAAATTTGGAGAGTGATCCAATTCAGTATTAAAAGAAATTGAGTGAACTATAAGTTTGAGACAAATTACAATTGAGATTTTTTTATTTATATATTCTTAAATATTTCACTAATTTATTAATGTGAGACTTTATTATTTCAATATTTTGATAAAAGCTTTTTTAGGGAAAGGAAAGCCTAAATGAAGAGTTTATTATTTCAATTGAGACAAAATATGCATGTTAATTAGAATTCAAATTTACGTTTTATTTTATTAAAAGTAATGGTAAAATAAACTTTATCCATTTTGTTAATTTCTTCATCATTAGAAGAAATTAGTCAATAATCATTACCCAAGATATTGTCAATGTACATTAAAAAGGAATTAGAAGTCAAACTAAATGTTACCAACAAGAATTTGTCTTAAAATATTAGAAAAATGTTGCCATCAAAAGCTTCAAAAGTATGTTGAAAGGTCAAAAAAATGGTTAAAAGTTGTCTAAAACATCTAATTAGTTCCACAAAGGCATTTCGTGTTTCCCAAGGACTTTTTCAATCTGGAATCCTATGAAATAGAGTTTTTCATACACATTTAAGGTAAGACACTGCGGTTATCAGTCGCTAATTACAAGTTGAGTTGACCAATTAAATATGCTGATCAGATAGTTTATTTTAATTTATAATTATTTTATCATATTATAAACGATGTATACATTTTACTGTGAAGAGTTATGCTCTAAGCTTAAGTGATAAACATTTAAATGAACGATTTTACAATGAGTTTTGATTTAAGTAATTTAAACTTGCTTTTAAAACTTTGATCATGACCCTTACAGAACTGTTTTTTCATTTCTTAACTTAATTTGATATTTTGTGAAAGGGATCAAAATTTGAACAGTTTGAAAATCTCATTCACAAGCTTACATCACAAAAAGTTTTGACCTGGTCTAGAAATTTAATTAAATTTATTACAAATTATTTACACAAATTATCTGCATAGCTCTTAATTAAAATTTAATTGAAACATGCAAGGTATGATAGTATACAAGTTAATCTGAGTTTTTTTTTTAATTTAAATTGCCTTTCTTTGAAAATCCAATTGTCTAGTAATTTTGCCTGAATTTGAACATTAAATTCCTGTTTGATAAGGTAATTTAAAGAGGCAATTAAATATTATTTAACTTGTGTTTTTTAAAACTATTTTTAACTAGGAGCTGAAAGCAATTTTTAATTTTTATTTTATTTTATTTTATAACTATTTATTCTTTTATCTCTTCAAATTTTAAAATCATATCACTGTTTTTTAACTTTTCTAAATCACTTTGGTATAAATCTTATTAAAATAAAATAAAATAATTAAATTTTATTTTATAATATAAAATAAATAAAATAATAATATAAATTAATAGATATTATTTCATTTCACTTAATAAAAATATTTTAAAATAAAAATAAAATCAATTTTTAATAATTTTAAAATATATAATTACTAAATTTTTAATTTTAGATTAAATCGGTGTCATCCTTGTTTGTTATGATATTTAAAAACTATCTTTTAACTCAAATAGTGTATTGAATTAGAATTTTAAATAATTTTTTTAGTTGAAAAAAATCTGTAAATTTTAAAAGACATTGCAGGATTCTGCAAGACTTTAAAATTAGAATTTTAATGGATTCTGCAAGACTTTTAAGTATGGATTTTAATGAATTTTGTGAGACTTTACAAATTTTCTTAGATTTTTGACATAAAGAGTTTAAGATTTTTTTCATACATTCAAATTTAAAAAGAGTTAAAGACAAAAATAATAAAAAACAACAATATCTGAATAAATAATAATAATTCTCTATCATATTATATCCTCCTAAATAGCATTCACCCACATATCTATAGTTATACTAGTACTTCAAGCATTAACATCTTTTCGCTCTTGGTCTTAGGTTTGAATAATAGGTCCAAAATTATGATATTCATTAATCAGTAATGTTGAAGATGAATGTTCGTCCATTGGTTCAATTGAAAATTTATCATTACAACATTTTTTGTGAAAAAAGTTATGTAGTGTTACACATGCTAACACAAGTTCTACTTGTATTTTAAATAAAAATGAAAGTGTTGACTTAAAAATTGTGAACCTTGATTTAGAAATACCAAATATTATCTCAATTACATTTCTTAAAGATGCATGACGAAGATTGAACAATTCTTTCTCATTTTCAGGATTATTATCCTGATCTGCAAAATTTTGTAAATGATATCTTATACCTTGAAATGGAGCTAAAAATTGGCGTCAGTTAGGAAATTTACAATCTATCAAGAAATATTTATCTAATTACTTATGTTGTTATGCAATATATATATATATATATATATATATATATATATAATATTAGTATAATTATTATCATTATTTAAAAAATAAACACTTATCTTGAGCCACTTTAAATCTATTCCTCCTTATTATAGCATCATTTTAGTAGCTTAAAATCTTGAGCAGTAATGCATATTATTATATGAGAAAAAAATGGAGAAGACAGAAACATAGAAAAAAATGAGATGAAAAACTCATTTGAAAATTTTTAAAGCACTTGAAAAATCACTTCAAACAATCCTCCAAAATCTGATAGATTTGGATGGGATTGTTTTATAAATATGGTATTTATAGATATTAATAAGTCTGTAATTAGGCCATTTTTTATAATCCATATATTCATATTTAACTTTTAATTTATTTGAGTTTTACACTAATTTATATATTAATTGTGCAGTTTGGTATAAAGAAGTGACAAATGGATTTTGAGTGCATTTTGGGCCCAAATTGATGGAAGATTAGAGTTCTGCAACAGTCAGCACGCCTAGACCCATTCAATAAGCATAGGGGTGCTTAAAGCCCATGCACGGTTGTGCTTAAGGTCTTGCACAGTCGTGCTCATCTGCGCGAAGCCCAGTTATGAAGAATCTTGAGGGTTTTCAAACTCTATTAAAAGACAGACCTCAGACATTGTAGGGACATCATTTTTACCTTGGCTTTTGCTTTGGGATACATCTCATCTCTCTTGCACGGGATCTTTGGCATACTCTTGGCAGACTTGGAGCTTCGAGTGATCGTACTTGAAGACTGAGAACTCATCTCATTCTAGTTTGTTATTTATTTTAATTATGACTTTGTTTATGATTGTTTTAGTTTTTTTTTTTTGTGTGAGTAACTAAGTCCATAGTTAGAGTTATGAAAACTATTGTTCATGAATTTATGGGGTTTTGACGTTTGAATCTAAATTTGATTTCCGTTTCGTGATTAGATTTTATCCTATTGCGTTTCTCTCTTATTCCTAATTAATTATATCGTCAGGCGGCCGTATCTTGGTTAATTAATAGATCTATAGGGTAGAACGAGACAAAAGACAAAGGATTAGTGGACCAAAACAGTTTTTCTCTTTTAATTGTTATTAAATTAACAAATTCATAGGTTCTTTAAGCTTTTTTAAATTGATGTCTTGCATGACCATTAGAGATGTTAATTTAGAGAAAATAATATTAATATTGCATGACTATTGGGTATTAATAGTATTCGTATAAATGATTAGTAATCACGAGAAAATTAGATTTAAAGTTAAACAGAAAAATAACATAAATGATTTAATGAAAAAATTCATATGCCGTTAATATATTTTTTTATTTCTTATATTTTATAATTTTTTTATGTTAATCATTTCGAATGGATTTAACTTGTATAATAATTATTATTCATTTTTATTAGACAAATGCATATTAAACTATTTTAATTTTTTTTAATTAAATATAACATTAAATATTTAGTTATTATCAATTTAGTTACACTTGGATCATGAAATAATACATTAGTATGCTTATTATTTAATGATTGATTTTAAAAATAATAAATAAAATAATCTTATACTATTTATATCGATTGAAAATTTGTATCATCAAATGACAAATTTGTTTGTCATGTATCATATGATTAAATTTTTTCTTTGGAAGAACTAACTAAGCTTTATGTAAAAATTTCCAGCTTAAATAAAATTATTTTTTTATGAAAGATATATACGATTTCAATAATTTTTTGCCTTCTATGTCAAAGTGCTTTGTAAATTCTTTGAATATAACAACTTATTTTGTTTAAAATACGTTACTACCTCATCTTTTTAAAAATTTGTACAACTTAACATAGCTCAATTTAGATACACTTTTAATAAGTATTTGTTAAAGAAAAATTAATATAAAATAAACAACTTATATTTATTAATTTATGATTTTAAATTAAAAAATTTAATAAATATAGCTATATTTAATATTTAAAAATTTGGTTTGCCAAATATAATAATATTATCCAATTCAAATAAGATTATTTTTAGTGAAAGCATGTGATCTAAAAAATTTAAAAACAAAATTAAACGCAAGTTTTAAAAAGTAAAAAATATTTTTTATTTATAAAAATTATTTTATTACTCATTTTCTTATTTTTATACATATTTATTAAAAATTTTATAAAAAATAATCTTGACTTAAAATTTAAACATTAAAGTCAAAACAAGACAACTATTTTCTTACTGAATACTACATACCAAATTATCAGATGTAAATTTTTGTTAACACAAATTGAATAATTAATAATAAAAAATATTAGTTGAAGGGTGAAATAATTTCCATCCAACATCCATCATTATTAAAAAAAAATTATGGCACAAAAATAAAATAAAATAAAAAGACACGCGCGCACCCCCCAACTTAACACACTACAAAGAGACACACTGAACTTACTTTACTTTTACCCCATTCCTATGCAGCTTTGGCATTCATGGGATTGAACTGCGATCACCACTTACCCTTTGCACCCTTCAAACACCCCCACAATTCTGCAACTTTTTCTGCAGATTCTCACTCCATATCCTCTTTTGGCTGAACTGGGTATGTCAATGAGGCTCTTCCACTTTCCACTTTGCTCCTCAACTGGTCAGTCTCACTGTTACTTTCTTTTCTCACCATATGTATATATATGTATCTGGATGTGCTTCTCCTTTTCTCATGTTTTTTAGATGTTTTGGGCCTCTGGGGTTCCGTGGAAACCTTAAAAATCTTTGCTTTATGGCGTTTGATTGTTGAACTGAAGAGTACTCATGTTGAAATTTTGGTGAACTAAGTCACGAATACAGCAAGGGCATGCGTTTTTCCTTGATTTGTCTATAGGAGGATTACAAAATTAATCCTTTTTTTATGGATGGAATATAAACTTGAATCATGTCTTTTTGTCGTTTTTTCTGAGTATGAGTGTGCTAGCTAAGCTTCCTGAAGTTTAGCTTGGCTTTGGATCATTGCTACTGTTCATGGTGTTATGGTGTATTGCTGAATTTGAAATTTTCCATTTGCTTGAATCTGAGAATTAAAAGGTGTACATAAATAGATGTCAGGATCAGTTTCCAATTCCGTTTTATTGATCACTTCTATGGACTTCTACTTGTGAGGAATATTTGTTGTTTATTTATTGTATCGTGCCTCTATCAGAGTTTAAATGGTTTAACTTTTGTGACTTTTTGATTGGTATAGGAGTGTGTTTTCTTATGTTGTTCCTTTTGTTGATGTAATCGTTTGCTTCTGAACCATCTGTTCCGGCGTCTGCTAATCATTCATGGTAGAAACTGTTCCTCTTTTATGGTTTTCTGATTATGTAGTATGTTGTTCAGTTTTATTCATAGCAGTATGAATTGCATACATATGGAACACAATCATCATGTATAGTTTATTATCATGGCTCATTTTCTTACTCACTATTTGACGTATTATACTAGTTCATTGGTGGTAGAATTTCCTTGCTACACTGTTATAATCTGGTTTTTCCTTTAATCTTCCTTACCATTGCTTGTGGCTTCGCCTTTCTATTTATTGTTCTAAAAGTGGTTTCAAGTTTGATAGTTTGATTTATTGTTTTTTTTCTGTGCTTTCTTCTTCTTTTCAAACTACTTTTATTTATAAATGAAAAAGTATAGGTTTATGTGCTGAATCTCTCCTTTGGGATCTCCTTTTTTTGTAGATAATATGTTTAATTAATATCCGACATTTAGTTCTTTTGTCCTAGAATTGATACCCCTTCTCATTGTTTTTTGAAGTTTGAACTAAGCTGGAGATCCTCTTTGCTATCTCTTCTGTTGTCAGTTTTTGCATTCTATTAGTACCTTTTGTTTAAACAAAAATCATTTCAGGTTAATCAAAAGATGGAGCGCCCCAGGCTAAACATGAGAGCCCGTTGCTCTGGTTCAACTCCCTCAGAAGAGTCTGCTTTGGATCTTGAAAGAAACTGTTGCGGTCATTCTAATCTGCCTTCACTGAGTCCACCAACGCTTCAACCCTTTGCTTCAGCTGGACAGCATTGTGAGAGCAGTGCTGCTTATTTTTCATGGCCTAGCCGATTGAATGATGATGCTGAAGAGAGAGCAAACTATTTTATAAATTTACAAAAGGGGGTGTTACCTGAAACCCTTGGTCGGCTGCCAAAGGGGCATCAGGCAACCACATTGCTTGAACTCATGACAATCAGGGCATTTCACAGCAAGATTCTGCGTTGTTACAGCCTTGGAACAGCGATTGGTTTTCGCATCCGGCGAGGTGTATTAACAGATATTCCCGCCATTCTAGTGTTTGTTTCCAGGAAAGTTCACAAGCAATGGCTCAGCCCAATCCAGTGTCTACCTACTGCTCTTGAGGTTCGTGAAGATGTTCAACTTGACCTCCCTGATTCAATATGAGTTTTGAAATATTTATATAGCATGAATAATTGTTAAGTTGTTCTCTAGTGCCTTATGGTGCAGTTAAAATTGATGCTTAATTTGTGAATCAGGGGCCGGGTGGAGTGTGGTGTGATGTGGATGTGGTGGAATTCTCGTATTTTGGTGCACCTGAGCCGGTTCCAAAAGAACAGCTCTACACCGAGATTGTAGATGACTTACGTGGGGGTGATCCATGCATTGGTTCAGGATCTCAGGTGTTTCTTTACTCTTTAATGTTTCCTATGGAAGTACCCTTCCAGTTTACCAAAGATTAACTTTTCATTCAATTAATATTGCATATATGACATGATTAAAGGAGCATTTTTTAGGCTTTCCACTTAAAAACTACCATGTAACTACTGTCCTTTGATTTTATCTAGCATCATATTAATTTGCTTTGGAGATTTTACTCTAGTAAGCAAAGTTTTGCTTGCGTGGGGTCTAACTTTGCAGGTTGTGGTGTAACTTCAACAAAGCAACTAAAGTTTTCCTCTGACAAGACTCACTTTCACCTCTCAGAAGTTGATACTGATATATTTATATATGCTAGGGTTTGTATATTTATATGTTAATGGGCTTGACTTTCTATGATAGAATCGTGATGATATTTTCGATTCATGAACTATTAGTTCATACCTTTGATTTCAAGTTTCATAATTTTCTATATAGTATATAAAACTTCTCTAAGCATTAAATATTTATTTATTTATCTCCACATGTTTTTAATTCTTAGCACCTGTAGACTGATGTCTATGCTTCTAAACAATGGTTTATATGTTTGATTTCCTGATTTGCATTTTTACGTTCACACTCATATATCCAGTTTTTAATGACCACAAATCTGGTTCACAATGTCTTTTATTTGAGGATAGAGAAAACTTAGGTGCTGCTAGTGCTGTTTACCAATTAAATTTTTTTTTTTTTTGTAAAATATTTCCATTTAATGTTATGGCAGATTACTAAGGTAAAACTTCATATTTGATTGGTAAACAGCGTCTAAGCAACTACACCTAAGTTTTACCCTTGGACAATCTCATTATTGGAATGTCACTGGCCTATGGAAATCATCTTTTCTTTCCATGATCTTTCAAGGTTCAGCCTAATCTTTTCTAATCTGGGTTTTTAGTATACATCACTCAATATTTTAAATTTTTCTAACCTGAATAAGTTATAAATTTAGGAAAACCAGAATACAGATCTAGTGGTGGTCTTGTGAAAAGCTGTCGTTTGAGATATTTAAAGACTGAAATAGTGGGATCCTCGATATCTATTGTCAGCTGGCAGCGTAATAACAATATCTCTCATTCTTAACAGGAACATTATTGTGGTGTAGAAATTCAATGTGTGTGGTAAATTAAACTATCAGATTCTCAGCTGGCCATCATCCACCTAATAAGTCAATTTGTAAAATCAATTGTTATATGAAAGCTATTACTGGGCCTCCACCCAACTGATCTGAGTTGCTGAAGATAGTTGCAAAACTTTCCTATATATTTTAATCTTCTACCTATAGTGTTCTTAAGTGACCTTAATGTCAACATTCTAGGTCATCCAATCTTCATCATAAAATAGCTATCTCATAATGGGAAAACTGTTCACTTACTATTTTGAGAGATCAATGCAGTTCATAGAAGCATCTCTAGTAGGGAATTCCTGTAGTGCTCTCTATTCAATGAATATATTGAACCTCTTGGTCTCTAACCACTGAATTCCTTAGTCCAGGTTGCTAGCCAGGAGACATATGGAACTTTGGGTGCCATCGTGAAGAGCCAAACAGGTAGTCGGCAAGTTGGTTTTCTCACAAATCGTCATGTAGCAGTCGACCTAGATTATCCAAACCAAAAGATGTTTCATCCTCTTCCCCCTACATTGGGGCCTGGGGTTTATCTTGGCGCAGTAGAAAGAGCAACTTCATTTATAACGGATGAGCGTTGGTATGGCATATTTGCTGGCATAAACCCAGGTAACAATTTTAGAAATCTGATTGATTTAATTGGGTTGGTTACAGCTTTTGTTCCCGCTCATACTTATCAGTCATCCTGATGTGTTTCTCCTGCAGAGACTTTTGTGAGAGCTGATGGTGCATTCATTCCCTTTGCTGATGACTTTGACATGTCCACTGTTACTACTTCAGTAAGAGGGGTTGGAGATATTGGTGATGTGAAAATTATTGACCTACAGGCTCCTATTAGTAGCCTTATCGGGAAACAGGTAGTTAAGGTTGGAAGAAGCTCCGGCTTGACTACAGGAATTGTTTTGGCTTATGCCCTGGAGTACAACGATGAGAAAGGTATATGCTTTCTAACAGATTTTCTTGTGGTTGGTGAGAACCAACAAACTTTTGACCTTGAAGGAGATAGTGGAAGTCTCATCATGTTAAAAGGTGACAATGGTGAGAAACCACAACCAATTGGGATAATATGGGGAGGAACTGCTAACAGGGGCCGCCTTAAGTTGAAAGTTGGGCAACCTCCTGAGAATTGGACTAGTGGGGTGGATCTGGGGCGTCTTCTCAATCTACTTGAACTTGATTTGATAACAACAGATGAAGGACTTAGAGGTTTGTCACTCGTTTTTTAATAGATCATTTTTTGGTTCATCTATTAATTTTTCTTCTAAATTTAGCTTTCTCAAATAAGGGATTGGAATTTACTTTGGGGTGCTTTATTCCTACTTGTGATATGCCAAGGGCTTCTTCAATGAATGAAGCTTAAAAGAAGTCCAGAAAAACATCTGGTGCTATTGATGGTCTGTAATTATGTTGATACTTGAAGGAATAGGGTGCAATAAGTTTCTTTATTTGCTTGTCTAAAATCAACTACACAAAATCATTTTCTTGAGATCGATTACTATGATACTGTTTATTTATGATGAAGATAATGTGAAAATATGGACACAACTCATGGGAATAATCTGGAGGCAAGTTTGAAGTCTTTTAATTGATAAGGATTATTTACTGTAAGTGGAAGAAAAGATTAACAACTAAAATGACAATTGATTTTCTGTTGTTGTTTCATGCAGTAGCAGTGCAAGAACAAAGAACTGCCTCAGCCACAGTAATTGGCTCTACCGTTGGCGATTCCTCAACTCCTGATGGGGTACTTCCAAAAGATAAAGCTGAAGACAAATATGAGCCACTTGGTCTTCAAATTCAGTCTATTCCCTTAGGTGTTGTGCCAAGCAGCCAAGACATGAAGCCATCAATTATGGAGACTGAATTTAAATTAGAAGATGGAATCAAGGCTGGTCCTAGTATCGAACACCAGTTTATACCGAGCTTCAATGGGCGTTCTCCATTGCACAAAAACAACATACAGGACAGAGCTGCAACAGAGAACTTGTCTTTGTTGAGGAATGACTGCGATGAAGATTTGTGTGTTTCGCTGCAGCTGGGTGATAACGAAGCAAAGAGAAGGCGCTCTGAAGCCTCAACTAGTACTGAGGAACCTCAATGAAACAGATTATTTGCATAAGCTGGAGCAACTGACTTGTTTTAAGTTTAATCACCCCAGAATGTGTTGTTTATGGCCACTGTGATAGTGATACTGTATTTATGCTTAGCAGCTATGACAATGAGCAATGTTGTGAGTGGTGTTCACATTGTCCAAGAAGCTCAAGTAAATTTGTGGTCTTCGAGGGCCATTCAGTTCCTAAAGTATGTCACTTTTTCAGTAAACATATGAAGACGACTTTGCCTATTACCTGATAGATCACATCACATGGCACTGAACATTGTTTATACTGGGATGAACTGATGCCATGAGTTTAATTTGCTTTTCTTTTGGGCTTCCCCCTTTCCTTGGTCTGCAAAGCCTTTCCACGTAATTAAAAAGGAGATACTTTTAAACCAACAAAAAATTTAAAAAAAAGGCTTAAAGAAAGAATCTACATCAATGACCTTAGTGTTATTGTGGTACCTTAAGTTATATAGTTCTCTTGCATAATGGACTATTATTTTAGGTTTGGCTCTTACATCATACTTTTTAACAGTGTCTTAGTTGTTAGTAAATGAATTTTAGTTTTCTTTATTTGCTAAAAGTCAAAGTTAGAAAGCCACATGAATGGGGCTTACAAAATTATTCTACCTAAGTTCTAAATAAAATTGGCAAATTTTTACACATGAACAAGGCACTTAATGCAAATATATTATAATTTTTATTTTTTCAGAGCTTGTATGTGGAATTGGTTAAGTAACATTCAAAGGTCTTCATTGGGTGATGAAGAGGAAGAGAAATAGCATCACATGCTGATTACTCGTGTTATAAAGTGGCAAATCATCACCAAGTAGTAGAGTTGTACAAGGAATGATTTTCGTTTTCCTTTTCTCTTTAAAACTACTCTTAATTTATACTTTTATAAAAATAACTAAAGTTTTTTTATGTGATGGTATCATCAATTCATTATAATAAAAACCTATCTAAATCCTGTACATGTTAATTTCTTATTCTTTTTTTTTATTATTTCCCTCAATTATTGAGGACATTTTAGTTGTTATTATGCAAATGATGGATAGTTTTGAATGGACATTGCTTTTCCTTTTTCGTTCATTATTTATATTTGTATTATATATTGTATATAAATCTGTCCAAAAGATAATCTATAAATCGACTGAACAGTTTTTTTAGTGCTCAATCACATTCACTATTGTCTTCGTAGTAATTTTCTTTTTAAAATAGTTTCAGTTAGAGCATGTGCATGCTCTTTTTTTTTTTTTTTTTTTTTTTTGTTTTTGCAAAAACACAAGTGCTATTCTAGTTTATCAAAATAATAAATATACACATGCATGTGTCATCTTCTTAAAAAATAATTTAAAAGTTTAAAAAATTAAGATATTTATATACTTAAAACAAAATAAAAATTTCAAAGTTCAAATGCGTAGCAGAATTGTTTTCTCTATGATACAATTGGGATAATGAGCTTAAAATCTGTAGCTTTAGGCAAGTGTAAAGAATATCATTATATTAAAAAAATATCATCATGTTCTAAATAAAAAACCAAAAAAGCTAATCCCAAATTTACCAAATATTTAAAGTAAAAAATTATTACTTTTTAATAATATTCCTTTAAAATGAGATTATTTGTAAATTACATAAAATGCATTCACTCTCAAATTTATATAAAATACATGGTAATCTTAATATACTGACCATTGTATCCTATAACTATAGCTTCATTTCTCACTTAATATTAGTCATTAAAAATAATAAAATGTTATAAAAAGCACGAACTCAGTTAAAGCCTTGTCCTACAAAATAACCATTACTTTTTTTTTTATTCAAAATTTGAAGTAAGTAACCTGTATGCAATTTTTGTTGATTTTTCTCTGAAAATCAAAGAATAAATATAATATTATATGCAATATATAATATAAAAAAAATCTCTTATTTACGCTTAATACTACATACATGTTCCGTTAGAAAAACCCTTTTTATTATTTTCAAAATTGAATTTAAATATTCAAATAATATAAATATTTTTATATTGTCATTAATTATAGATTATCATATTAATTAAAATATTTTTATAATAATTAATATAAATTATATTTATTATGTATTTTAATTAGTTAATAGTATAAAAAATATTGCATTAAAACTGCATCAAAATTAAATTTTTAATTTTATTTTTATTTAAGTGTAATCCTTCAATTAGAATTAAAATTTTATCTTAATAATCTGTAATTATATAAAATAAAATTATTTTATTGAAATAAAAATAAAAATTTAATTGATAAACACCCGTAAACATAAAGAACATTATATAAATTTCGTCATTAATGAATAAGAAAAGAAAAAATAAAAAAAGAACAAGACGGGACGTGCAAACTCGGACAGACCCGGTTATGACCCGGATCCGTTCCGTCTCTTGAAGTGCATTAACAAAGGGATAGGCGTTGATCTGTTTTATCTTGGATTCCTTTCACTGCCGAACTAGCTTTGTTTGTGGAGGTAGCTAGGGTTTATCGAGGGTTTCATTCGCTCTCTCTGCAACAATGGCGAAACCTGGCCGAGTTCGTCGCTCACCGTCGGGTTCCGTCTCCGGCTCTTCCTCTCGCTCCTCTTCCCCCTCCGATTCTCGCTCCTCCTCTCGCTCTCGTTCGCTCTCTCGCTCTCGTTCGCCCTCGCGCTCCAGATCTTTCTCTTCCTCCTCCTCCTCTCCATCTCGCAGTTCTCGCAGCCGTAGCCACAGCCGGAGCCCTCCTCCTCAGAGGCGGAAAAGGTACCGTTAATTTTCCGATCGGAGCGTGAAACAAACGCGACGTTCTACTTTTGTTTCTGTTTTTTAATTTGACTTTATTGGAATAAATGCATTGAAGTGCGCGTTGTTATCTTAGTTGTTGGTTGATGTTGATACCTCCTTTTTTATTTGTATTTCATGCTGAATTTTGGTCCGGTATGATTAAGGGTTTTGTGGAAATGGAATCTGACCGAAGCTTTTGGTCCATTGATTGTTTTTCTTTTCGTTGTTGTTTCTGAAGCGGATTGTCTTGGCATGTTAATGGTGTTGGATTTTTTTTTATTTATTTTTTTGCTGTTTGTGTTTCATGAGTTGTGTGCTGTAATTGTGCTGAGTAGGTGTAATTAAAGTACAAAAAATTAATGGTCAATTGATAAAAATTACGTGGTTAATGTGCGAACATCTATGTTCAGTTGGTAGTGTAAGTTGGAAACATGGCTATGGTAGATGTGCAAGTGTTTTTCCTTCACTTTTTGGTCAGTTTGGTTTTTGAAGACCAGATTGATGTTATACTACCACTACATTATCTTGTCCTGCAGTCCTGCCGAACCAGCTAGGCGAGGTCGATCTCCTCCACCTCCGTCTAAAAGAACTTCTCCTCCGCCAAGGTAAAGTGATTCAAATTTGCAATTTTGATTTCACTCCTCTGTGATATTACTTGAATATGAATCTGTAGACTTGAAATTGTCATTTCAATTTATGTTATTGAATATGTTACTCCTTTGTGATACTTTATTCCTTTTTGTGTTATTTGCACCTTTTGCTTATGTGTGTATTTCTTATGTCTGAACATAGGAAACCTTCACCTGTACGGGAATCACTTGTTCTTCATGTTGAAAAGCTCAGTAGAAATGTCAATGAAGGGCATTTGAAAGAAATTTTCAGTATGTTTAATTCTTTCTAGCTTCTATTTTTGTCTTACATCATGGATACAATAATATAGGTCTTTGCTCATGTTCCCATGACATGGTTGCCAAATAGTTAGATTAGAAGACTTATTATTTGGCAATGCACATTTAATTTGTCTGGTCTTATAACTTTGTAAGCAATGTCTCATGGTGATAGCATACATAAATTAAGCTCAGTGCAACTTCTCTTTTCGTTCCTTTTTTAATTTGTTTCTTTGTCAGTAAGTAAGCTCTTACTTTTTGTCATTGAGACTTCAATATTAGTAGTATTAGTGTTATTTATACTGGCTTGATGGCTTATTGCATAAGTGATCTTAAGGAGCTTATATCTGTAATTCAAATAGAGCTTTTAGCAACCTTTTAGAGACATTTATAACTTAAGGTGCACATATCCTCTTTTGGAAACACTTGAGTAAACCCTATGCTTTAATTTTTCAGGTAACTTTGGTGAGGTTGTAAGTGTGGAGTTGGCCATGGATCGGACTGTAAGTTTGTATTTACTTTGGCATCATAGCCTTACCAGAATTTAGTGCGATACGGTATTTTTATTTATATACATACATACATACATATATATATATATTTGTTCTCATTTCTAGGTTAATCTACCAAAAGGATATGGATATGTGCAATTCAAGACCAGAGGGGATGCTGAAAAAGCATTATTGTACATGGATGGTGTAAGCTTCTGTGATTGAGTAGGACTGATTTCCACATTCAAGCTTTCTGGCATATGGAAATTCATGCCTTAATTTTTTGTAATGCAGGCCCAAATAGATGGCAATGTCATCAAGGCAAGATTTACTCTACCTCCAAGACAAAGAGTTTCACCACCTCCAAAGCCTTCTGCTGTTGCTCCAAAAAGAGATGCCCCCAGGGCTGATAATGCTAATGTGGATGTTGAAAAGGATGGACCGAAGCGTCAAAGAGAATGTATATACCTAATGTGTTGGTGCAGTCATTTTTTTGTTTGTATTTATTGTATTGCTTGCTTTTTGTGTGTACTAAACTGTAGATTGATAACACCAGCTCCTCGGAGAAAACCTCCTCCTTCACCACGGAGGAGATCTCCTGTGCCTCGAAGAGCTGGATCTCCAAGACGACCAGACTCTCCGCGCCGTCGTGCAGATTCTCCTCTCCGTCGTCGGTTAGACTCTCCTTATCGTCGTGGAGACACCCCTCCTAGGAGGCGACCTGTGTCTCCTGGAAGAGGTCGTTCTCCATCTCCACCAAGACGCCTTAGATCCCCTGCAAGGTTGGCTTGCAATTGCATACATGTTTGGCTAAAAATTTCTTTAGTCATCTACTCATTTATATATAATCTTTGTAGGGTTTCACCTAGAAGGATGCGTGGAAGCCCAGGTCGGAGACGATCACCTCCTCCTCCTCCAAGGCGCCGGTAAATAACCCGAAAATTTCCTGCAATTATCACTTTACATTTTTAATCAATTGTATGTTCTATTTATTGCCCTTGCCTTTTCCTTTAGTTCACCACCTAGACGGGCTCGTAGTCCTCCTAGAAGATCTCCAATTGGTCGTAGACGTAGTCGCTCTCCCATTCGAAGGGGACCACGCTCACGCTCACGGTCATTCTCACCTCGCAGGTAATTTTAGTGCATACCTATTTTTGAATAGACTACTGTATTTTTTTGTTCCCTATATTATGGCTTACTTTTGTTGATTCATTGGCCTTTTGTGCAATAGAATATTCTTATAGAAGTAAAAATAAAACAGCATGAGATGTTAATGGGCATGTGAAAATATGATACTAGGACCTGATGGTTTTTTGTAGTTTTCCATGTCCTTTCAAATTGTCAATATAGCTGACCTAAAGATGTTTAACTTGATACATAATACTAGTAATTTAGGGTGTAGAGTTGGATGTGTTAGAAAATGACTTCATTACCTGATAAATAATGGCAGAAGTAAAAGGGGTTTCGTAGAGTTGACAATTTTAGTGCTTAGAAAGAACCAAAGAAATGCTTATTTTGCATTAAATTTCACAATTTACTTCAATGACTTGTGTCAACATTTGTATGGTGCGCACCCATGAAAATACAAAAGAAGTTTTAGTACTATTAGTGTTATTTCCAGATTTCTTATTATGTTTGACTGAAAGCTGCACTTCAAAAATATTTAAACACTGCATGAGTTTTATTCTCTTAACAGAGGTCGACCTCCTGTGAGACGTGGAAGGTCATCATCCTACTCTGATTCACCAAGTCCACGCAAGGTATTTGACTTCTCATTTATATAGATGGCATTATTTTTATTTGGAATGTTATATGGCTCAGTCCTCCATAACATTGACAGGTATCAAGAAGATCAAAGAGTCGCAGTCCAAGAAGGTAATGCGTGCAGTATTTGGTACAATATTCTCTTGTTTAATCTTTTAATTCCTTTTATTTTTTAGTAAATTTCATTGTTTGATTTTCCGGAGAAGATTCATGTGAAATGTTTGAAAGAAGAATTTTTTTCTTATCATATTGCTGCTGTGTTTTTTCTCTTTTTCAATTTCTATAGCAATTCAACCATTTACGGACTAAAGTAAGATTAAGATTATTCCTTTACAAATTTCTGCTGATGCTCGGTATAAATTTTGCAAAGTGAAAGATTTGTTCTCCTTTCAGAAAAGACACTTAATAGCATTATGTAAATGAAACCACTGATATGGTTTTGGTTCGTGGCTGACCTCAAAAGTGTTCAAGCCTTGAAATTTTCCACCTAGCTTCCGTGCTTCACTCGTCGCACATGAATACAATATTAAGTAGATACATATATATGTTTGATGTAAATAGGATTGGTCAGTGTATAAGTAAATCTTATTAACTTCTCTTCCCGTCTAACAAAATTTTCAGCAATTGGATTTTGGATATTAAATAATTATTCAAGTGCACACATGTCAAGGACAAATTCCTTGTCTTGTGAAAACACTTTGGCATTTGTAGATTTTCATTAAAGGATAAATGTCAGCGATACCAGCAATTGTGTTTGCTTTGATTCAATAATATTACTTTGATAATGTAATATTTGGTCCAGTTGTATGCTTAAGTAAATTTTTTTTCCCTAATTGTAGGCCTTTGAGAGGAAGGGGCAGTAGCAACAGCAGCAGCAGCAGTTCACCACCCCCAGCACGCAAACCATAGATAATTCCTGTACATCTTTTGTCTCTTTCTGTTGATGTATTTATCAAGATTCTGTACCAACTATGAATTGTTCTAGGGGTAATATGCTTGGGGATATGTGTTACTTTTCATTGTTGTCTATTCTAACACATTCTCTTATTAGCACTTAAAAATAGTTTTCGAAACTTGCCGTTCTATTCAATTTCGTTTGGGTTCAACTTTTAGCTTTTTGTTATTTTGCCAGATTTATTGTATTCGGAACAGTTGGAATTCCTAGTCAGTGGATTTCTATCCAATTGATTAGTTTCTTTAGATATTTGCGTATGCGGGAAAAGTAGATATTTTGTTGTGTAAGTTTCTTGGAATTGCCACGAAATGCAGAACTGAGGTAAGCTTTATTAATCTGGCTACAGTGATGATACGAGAAAATTCATTTTATCTCGGTTATCATTTATCATTTGTGTAGGTTAATTTGCTTTTAGGCCCTGACATTGCGTAATTTCAAGTTCCGAACTGCCTAAATCTCTGATTAAAAATTCTTTTATTTATTTTTTATTAATTTTATCAAGTTTAAAGTTTTCCAATGAAATTTCACTACAGTTTATCCATTTTCAAATGAAAATGTAACTAGTGGGTGGATGTACTCGGAAAATTTTTTGATTGGACAACCATAAGTTTGTCACTTTTTATTGTTCAAAGCAGAGCATGTTGAATTATTGAATGGATTACCACTATACAGGTCATTCAGATTGTCTAATTAAGACAAAATTATATTGTGACGATTCATGGAACTTAGACAAACTGGAGGAGATACAGTTGCATATTTAGTATTGTTTACTAAACAGCTGTTTAAAACAATTTGGTTGGATGATTAAATTTGCAAATAAGTTACTAATTCGTTTCATAACATCTTAAAAAGATGTACGGTTGGATGATTGGAATTCATTTTACATATAATAATAATGTCGTAAGTTTGAGGGTTTTTTACATAAATAATAAATAAATAAATTATATAATCCGGATATCTTTTAAATTAAATGTTTACTTTAATGTTCAAATTTTGATGAAATAGAAGTATATTAAAATTGACTTTCAAGCAAAAGAAAATTTAACTTAAATTGATTTTTATTCAAAAGTTGTAGTGACTCGTATACAATAGTTAATTATAAAAACTAGTATTTTAATGGGACTAAAATTCATTGGAAAGAAAAAAAATGTTTGAATGGAATAAATATGTAGTATTTATAAAAAAAGTTTCAATTATTAAAAAAAAATCACTATACTTTAATGTTGAATTGTTGTATTAAATATTTGAGTATATTATAATTGATTTTTGTGCTGAATTAAAATCTATTATAATCTATTTCTGTATCGCAATAAAATTAATTATTATAGTCTTTAGAAATCTCTTATAATTAATTTTTGTCTTGTCATTGAATTAAAATGCAACAATTTAAAAATTGATTATAATTAAATTCTGGATAAAAATTATTGAAACTTTTAATGAAAGTCAAGTTGACTTATATTTTATCAAAATTAAGACATTTATGTAATTGTATTTAATTTAAAAGATATATGTTAGATGTAATTTGTTTTATTTTATTTCTAGAAAAGGTTCTAAGTTTGATGAATTAATACTTTTTCTTGCATATTGTTTAAGAAAAAAAAAGAGAATTATATAAATAAAAACATGAATATGAACGAGTGATTATACCAAAAATGACAAAGTAAAAAATAATTGTATTAATGAGAATATTAAAGTAGTACTTATCATAAAAAAAAATAAAAAGTTAATTAAAATAATTTGAATATGTGTAAAGAAAGTTGTTAATGTATGATAAAAGAGTTATTGTCATAACTTTTAATCTAGTTAAAAGATATTTAATAAAAAGTAATATCTTAGAAAATTTATTTTTTAAATAAAATTGTGATTCATGTAAATGATTTTACTTAATAAAATATTAAGTTTGATTGTTTTTATATTGTGACTATTAAATTAAATAGGATTTTAAAATTAAATACTAAAAATATATTGTATGATTATTTATAATTTAATACATTAATAAATTAAAAAAAATAAGATTTGTAACTATAAAAAGTAAATATTTTATTACATAAAATAAAATTAAACAAAGAACTTTTTAAATTTAAAAATAAATTAATGAAATTTTTAATTAATATTAAATTTAAAATAAAATTTATCGTAGAAAAAAAAAAATACTTGATGAAAGAGAGATAGAGCCCTTAAAAGTACTCGTTTGATTTTTTTTTTAAGTGCACTTAATTAAAAATTAATTTTACAAATTATATATAAATGGATCTTTGATTGTATGCTAATTGGTATTGGCTTAAAACTACTGATAATTTTATGCTAGATTTTTGTTCATTGTATCAAAGTAATTATATGATATCTGAATATAATTAGAATGAAACTGGTACAGAAACATACAATTTGAAATTTACATCTAAATATCAATTTAATTTCAGTAATAATTACCAGGTTTATGATTTTATTCAAGTGTAATTTTTTTTATTGCAATAAACGGTTTAAAAGTTTAATTTGCAAAAAAAATAAAATCAAAGACTGAAAGTTCAAAATACTTTACATTTAATTTTAAAAATAGTTGAGAAAAAAATGAAATATGTAATAAAATTCTAAATATTTCTTACATGATAAATTAATGAACAATTTTTTCTTTATCTCACAAACATTTCTTGAAAGTAAAAAAACAATTTGATCAAATTCAGTTTAGACAAAATTTAGAATAAACACTTATAAAATAAAAAAAATAAAATGAATTAATTTTTTTCAAAAAGTTAAATTAAATTATATACCTTAATTTTTGAAGAAGATAGATAAAATAAATTCCTAAAATAGTAAAAAATACATAAATTATTTTAAGTAATAAATTCATTAGTAATACAATCAGCACCAAAGGAAAAAAAAAATCATCTAATAATGTAATCGTTTCCCACCAAAACTAAAGATTGATTATTCAAAACTAAAACGCAGTCATGACTCACTATTTCACGCTGCGCTCATTTAAAAAAAAGGAAAATAGAAAAGAAAATGGTATGTTTCGGATCCAAATAACCCAACACAAAAGAGACCACCGATCTTAACTTGGACCTTTATTTCGACCCGATCCATATCCACATCTGCTACCATCTCTCTCTCTCTCTCTCTCTCTGCTCTAGGGTTCTTTTTTGCTTGCAAATTTTGTTTAGTGTTTCCATTTTGAAAATTGGTCCGAACATTAATCAATTTTACTTCCCAAATTGCGCGCTCTCTCTCTCTCTCTGCGATCGCCACTTTCAAAGAGAACACGTTGAAGAGCACACACTTTGCAGAATGAAAAAGGCTGACACAAGGTAAATTTTGAAGCTTGTTTGTCAATTGTTTGGCAATATATTTTTTCCTCAAAAGCTTTGAGCTTGATTAATCTTCAATTTCATTGGAATTGATTCAATTCCAAATATTCTTTTAGTTATTGTTGTAGTTAAGTTCGTTTGCATACACGGTGTGTGTTTGATCATAGTATTTTCTAATATAAGTGGGACATTAATAAACTAATTTTTTTTCTCACTCACCACTGACGCTCACGGAACATGAAGGGGACGAAGATAATTCACTCTAATTCGATTCTAGTTCACTCAAGTTTGATACAATACATAGTCATGGTACATGAAGCCTTTTTATATGCAAATATGTGCTATATTATAGTATTAAATAACAACAGTTAATGCCCATGAAAAAGAAACAAGGGTGGGAATTTGCAATGAAAACGGGTTCAGTACGGCTTTCAGTCCAATCACGAGTGATAAACTTCTTGTCATATATCTATGATAACACGAATCCAAGTACCGCTTCAGCAACTTATTTGCAGTGCTGTGCGAGTAGGTCAATAAAAATTTATCTTCCAAGTTTAGTAAAACTGTTCCAATCTGTGAATATTATGGCTTGTAGCAGGCGCCCACAAAATTCTAAAGCTGGATTTACCTTTTCTTAACCATCATTGTCTCTCGTATTTGTAGTTCAGCAGAAGCATTGATCATTCAGGTCCCACCTAGATTTGAGATCCTGTTATTTTTTGTTTGCCATTACTTGAACTCATTTTAATGTTTCTCCTTTTGCATGGTCTTTTTTATAATTGGTTCCCAGAATGATAACGTTTTTAGTGCTGTTGTTATTGGTTGGTTCCACCTGTCTAGACTAAGGTAGCAGGCAGGCTGTGGGATTTCATGGCAGGCAGTGGCCTGCCATCTTTGGGTCGTGTGAAGCTCTCGGATTTAGTTCCTTCAGAAGGGTTACCATCTGATTCCTATAAAATATCTGTTTCAATTTTGTGGGAATCACTGGCTCAGTTTTCAGCTGTCATCATCCAGTTTCCAGCTAGTGATGGGGCTCTTTTAAGATCTGGTTTAGAATCTGCTCGCCTGTATTTCCATCAAAAAGAAACATATCCTACTGCAGATATAATCCATACTAGTGAGTCTCGTGAGTGGTGCAAAACATCTGGTTATTATGCTGATTCTCATTTGTGGCAAGAAACCTATGATTATAGACCAGGATTGACTCCTTCAGAACCTAATAATTCAATTGAGTTCCCTCCGGCAGGTTTGCTAGATATATTTGCTTTATTTGGAAAAGCAGCAAGGGATATTTTGGATGCAATTAGCTACCACTTGAATTTGCGCAGCTCTCCATTTTCAGAAATACTGGATAATGTTCCCCTGAGAAATAGGGAAATTTCATCTTCAGTATTGTCTGTTTGCTGTCATGCAAGGCCATCATTTCAGGGAACTCAACATCATAATATAACTACTCAAGGGGATGGACAATTGATGATGTATCCTGACCATGATCACCAAGTCGATAAAAGCTTGCTATCACTTGTTAAGTCTGACAGGGCAGGTTTACATGTCAGAGACTTTCAAGGTCGGTGGATTCTTGTGGATGGAGATCTGGGGCCTCAAGAGGCTGTTGTCTATCCTGGGCTTGCTCTCTATCAAGCGACTGCAGGATATGTAAACCCTGCATTGCACAAAACTGAGATTAATATGGAGGCTAATATGTATGGACGATGTTCTTTATCCTTCAAACTTTTTCCTAAATCAATGACCAGTCTTGATTGTTCAGAAATGAGAGCGGCAGGTTATGGAATTGAAGCTCAGTTCCAGCTTCCTGTTGCAGTGGATGATTTTATGCAAAGATCTCATCCAACTGACCATCTCTTTAATAGGCCTGGCTTCCAGTGCTTCAATTTCCAACCAACACATGATGGTATGTTGCATTCTAATTAAATTTGGAATCTGACTTGTCATTTTGTTGTGTAGGTCACTTGTTCATATTCTTCAAAACTTCATTTAAGAACATGCTTAATTTTGAATGATGTCGATGTTGATTTGCAATATCTGTAAGCTTTCTAGAGTTCTGATGAAATTAAAATTTGGAAAAAAGAATACTATTCCTATTTTTCAAATGAGATTGTGCTAAAACATAATTTATATTGCAATCTACTTTTAGTAATTTGCTAATTGCTATTTCTGTATCTTAGTTGTTATACATGATAAATGTTGTAAATTAGTCATGCTCAAGGTGAGTAGTGAGATAAATTTAAAACTATATTATTATTGTTTGACCTAGTAGTAGTTAGCTTCTTTCACTTTTATGGATAACACTTAGCTTAAAGGAATGATTAGATGAAATAAGATTCAGACACTTCTGGCAAATGCTTATTTTCCTAAGTAATAAGGAAAATGGAAAAAATTCATAAATTTTGCGCTTAGATTATTTTTCTAGCTGAAATTTAGCTTTTCACTTTCAGATTTTCAGAGATTTGAAGTTAAAATTTATGTATTTGGTTGGTGTTTTCATGAACAATTTTCATTATTTCATGTGTTTGACTGTATTGAGATTGAATTAGTGTGCCTTCAAGTGTAGTCCTTAGTGGAAAGTTTTTAACAGCAGGTCCTTGGATCGATGAAATGCTGGTACAGGATCTATGAAGACTTTGATCCGGAGAAGGAAGCAAAATCCTAAAAGCAAACCTTTGCCACCTTCCAAGAGGCTAAGGCTTGAGGCGCAGAGAGTTTTGAAAGAAAGGGTCCAGGACATTGCAGATAAGAAAGGCATCAAGCTGCGGTTCTGTAATCTCAAGGAATGTGAAAGTCACATTCACACCCTAGATAGCCCATGTGCTAATATACGAATGGAGATAGGTTGGCCACCTGGTGTTCCATTTGTCCATCCCCATGATTTACCAAATAAGGCAAAGCTGGGTTTTCTTGAAGCATATGAACCTGGTTGGACAGAAGCTCATCAGAACTCGGACAGGCTAGTCAACACTCGGCTAACTTTAACTGAACTGTTCTTGTGCAAGTTTCATGTCCATATGACCATGCATAATTGTATACTCTAGTTTGTATTCATATCTGTCTTATGAAATAGTTGTGGTGCATTCAAAGCTGAGTATATGGATATTTTGTTTTCAAGTTGATAGAAAAGTTAAGGGAAATTGTGGTTTAACATAAATGATTAATGCACATGATTATGGCTAACCCAATTATATTCATCACGCAATATGTTCAATGCTATGTTTTGCAACATCAAAGGATGTTAAATAACTTTTCAATTGCAAATCAAACGAACCATGGCATTAGGAAAGAGTAAAGGGTTGAATGGATCGAAAAGCTACATATATAATGCCTTTTTTCTTGAGGTATTGTGCTTTTTTTAACCTGGAGTGAACTAAATTGCTCCGAGTTACATATATCTCACTGAATGGAACTAGAAATACTTATAAAGTGGAAGATCCAAAACAGGAGGTGGAAGCTTGTTGGACACCTAAAATACAGTTATAGAATGATCAAAGGTTGATAGACGAACCAGAACAAATATTATGGTAGTATAACTGTGAAACGTGTTGCATAAATTTATATGGGAGGCTTTCAGTGTAGGCACAATAGTAAGATTCAAAACAAAGTTGAGTTGACTATTTGAAACCTGAACTGTATGGAATAGTACTTAATTTAACAATTAAACTGTGTTCTCTTTTTTGGTGATACTAAGATTATGTGCATGTTTGGTGTCTGCAGGAATCAGTCCCCTTGATATCCAACACATGGGCAACATATGATCAGGTTGTGAGGGTCTTGTGAAGATAAAGGATATAGTTCTCAGGGGCCTCTTAACCTATATTTGTGGTTAGGTTTAGACTTTTGTGGCTGATCTTTATGTATGGATTTGAAGCAGATTAAAGAAAGAAACGTGCTGCAATGAATTCCGTAGATGCGTTGTTACAGATTTCTTAGAAGCTCTTAGGGTTATGAGACGCCAATCCAATCAAAATTAAGGGTATACTCAGTTCTGAAGCTGATGGAGGTCGTTTTGTCCCGTATCAGTCATATATAAAATGGAGAGAAAAAGGTTTACAAATCAATAGAATAACTATGAGCTTCTCTTACTCGGTTTTCCTGCACGACTCATCTAAGGCCATTTGACAAATGTTCTGCAACTAATTGTAACCTTTTGTGCTTGAGTTATGTCAAGCTGCAAGAAAATTCAGTGTGTGAACACACAGCTTTATGTAGTGAGATAGCGTTGAAGCATTGCAACCTTTCTTTTTAATTTAGTTTCTTTCATTATGAAGCTGTATTTTGTTACAATGCTATGTGAACCCGTAGCTTGACGTTTTTACTTATGCTGCCTAGTTATAATTGTGAGATCAGAGGTGGTGCATACCAAGAGGCATAATCTTTCATTACAATGAAATTTTATCAAGACTGGAAAATATTATCTCTCTCGAAGAACTACTCCCTAAATTTATTATGATAGGCTTATATGTAAAAAGAATCATGAGCTAAAGCTTCAAAGAAAGTTGTAGCAACTAACTGATTCTCTATTGCAGAACAATCAAATGAATGCCCATGAAGGCCCCTTTATTGTTTGAACAGTTATTTTTTTAGCTACCAAAGTGCTAGGGATTGTGAAAACGGACTAACTTGCTTTTAAAAAATAAGTTAAAATTTCTACTCTATCTAGTTTAAAGGTGAACTGGTTGGCTAACGGAGTAATCTGTTAAAGACTAAAAAAATGAAAAAAATATGAAAGAGTTGGTGGACTAATAAGTTAATGAGTAAGTTTATCTAAAATTAATAAAAAAATTTCAAAATATAATAAAAAACAATTATATTAATAAAAATTAATATTTAATTAATAAAAAAAAATATTTTTTAAATTAAAATAGGCGTTCTCACCTTAACTCATTATTAGCAAGCTAAAATAGAGGAAATTAGATAAACATACAAGTTCAAAGCATTCAATTTGATCTATCATTTTTAGCGAGTTAAGTACTTATTGAACTCAATTTAACACCCTATATAGCATAAGTCTTCAATGTCTAAGTACCCAACCTCGCATTGTTTAAACATGAGAACTTTTGCTAGTAAAACAAAAATAAATAAATAAATGCAAATTCTACTTAAAAATCAAATAAGTGACTATAAAAAAATAAAAATCTTAATAAAACTATCTTAAAATAAAAAGTTACAAATTAACACCTTGAAAAGATATTGGCATCTATCTATCCATATCTATAAAAGTATTTATTTATTTTACAATTATATAACATTTTTCCTGGATAGTTAGTTTTTTCTCATTTACTTTTTTTGAAATATAATAAAAATCTGTTAAACTAGGCATATTGATGATTGAAAAGTTGATATTACAAGAATATTAAAGGAAATATTATTTTAATGTAGTGTCACCGTATTTTGAATGTCAACTTTGGCACGATGATGCCATGTTTTGTGCGTTAATATTGCACTGGAGTATGTTAACATCAAGTCAAGCCTATTGCATGCTAACGTTGCATGTTTATTAAGACTTATTTACATACATTCCGTGTCATGTAACATTTGTCATGTCTATTGTCAAATGCAAATAGAAGGATTTTACACTTTTTGTATTCTGGGTAGAGTTATTATAAATTTTAAGAAATTAAATTACATCAATTTAATTATCATTAAGTTAAGATTCTTAGATCTTTTGTTTAGACAGAATAATTTTTTTTAAAATTATAGAATTAAATTGTGTAACAAACTAGCTGTGCAATGCAACTAGCTGATCTCTCTCTGTTAAATAACTTAAAAAGATATAATATTATATTAATGTAATATTTAAATTAATTATTTATTTTATTTGTTTATGATCAATTAATTAAGTAACTATATAGAAAAATAATTTATATATATATATTTAAACAAAAAATATTTCAAACTATATGCTTTTTTTAATATAAAATAGATTTGGACAAAAGGAATAGGGAAACACTTAAAAAAATAGAAAGAAGAATAAGGAATGAAAATGGTACGAAGATAAAGAGAACAAAAGATAATGATATCAATGTACACGCGTGATGTTTTAATTGTATAACGCGTGATTTTTTTTAATTGAAAATAAAAATATAATAGAAATATTAGTAGTTAACCGATAAAAGTTAAATGTTACTTTAAATTAAGCTTTTAATAGTTACAAACTTTTTTATTCTATACTTACCAATTAACTTTACAACTTTATTAACTAATCAATAAAACACAAGCTCTTAAATAAATTACAAATTAATTTTATAATATAACTTGCTTAATAAAAGATAGGTCTCGTAATGTTTAGATTGGTTTTGATGATATTTGACCCTCAAAGTTCAAAAATGATTGTAAGTAACCAGTACTCACCCTAAATAAGAAAATAACAAACTGCTGTAACACACTTTCAATGTCCTACCAAAATCTTTTAAATAATAATAATAATATATAATGCCACAGATTGTTGAACGTTTCCTTCAAAACCTTCTTTAGTTCTTTAAAAGGTTTTTAAAAATAGTTAAAATGGAAGAAAATATCAATTCAAGTGTTTTTCATTATTTTTTTTTGCATAAGTAAACAAATGTAATCAAATTAAAATAAAAAAAACAGTGAGAAGGGAATATTACGTCAAAACATGAAGGCCAAAATGCAAGCCTTTTTCTTCTTAATTGAAAGGGTTTTAACAACTGGTTTAGTTTTTAACCATTTAATAGCTTTAAATCAAGGCCAGATGTTGTTTGCAACACATGTAGACAATTCTTTTATAGAACTGCTTTAAAGATTCGGTTCTTTTCTTTCATTGAAGTATTTATTCTATCTTTTTCTCTCGAAATTCTTCTCCTTTGGGTCTGCGTGCTAGTTGAAATAGATAAAAACTCCTAAGTGTTCGACATTTGAAATTCTATCACTTTATTAATCTCTTATAAAATTATACAACACAAAACAAAAATTAATAATTCTTATTCGTATTTTTATATGAAAAGTGAGGAATTCTTAATATATTCCCATTTTTTCCGAATATATCAAATGATATATATATATATATATATATATATATATATATATATATATATATATTTCAAAGAATGCTATATATGATGATAGAATAAAGGAAATAATGATAATAAATCTATACCCGTGTTTATCAAATTACACGATGACTCTTCTTTAGTTATTACGTCTTTCTCTCTCGTTTCTAATTCGAGATGAGACTCTTAACAAAGAAATTTATTAGTCTTCAATGATATGTGGATTAAAATGCAATAACATAATAATTGGTCAAAGTTCTAAAATTTATTCCTTTTTTTATCAGGTTTTTTTTGGTCTTTTTAAAGATATGTTAGGAAATTGATTCCTTCCAAATTAACTTTCTAGAATTATGTTTATTAGATATATTTTAATTAATAATTTTTTATAAAATAAAATTGATAAAAACTAGTGTAAAATATTTTTTTGGTGAACACAAGGAAAAGAAGCCGAAAAGGCCAACTACGACAATCCCTATCAATACTGATAAAAGAATAAACCAAAATAGAAATGAAAGAAAGAAAGAAAAAATATTAAAAAAATAATACATTGAAATATCAGATCATGATCACGTAAAGCCAAAACATCTGCAACATGATTTTCTTCTCTCCGATTATAGTTCTATGCATATTACTTTCATCCATAGGGACTAATATCTTGCAGAATTTGTAATCATGAGTAATGATCAAGACAACCAAGTTCCAGGCAAAGAGTTACTCGAGAGTTTACCTCTAATGATATTTTTCTAGATTTTTTTTCACTACAAGTTGTAACCATAGTATACACTCCACAGTTCTGCCATTAAACTAGAGCAAGACTAAATCTCGAATAATATTATCACAAGCAGTTTGATCACGTTTGTTCAGATTAAGCTAGGAGCCATCAATCCATGATTGGGTGGACAATACCGTTTAATGTTAGCTACAATTTTCCGTTTAGAGAATGAAGATCCTTTCATTTCAATTTTGCCGGATTATAAAAATGGTGACTATAAATATAGTGGTCCAATCGTAGTAATGGCTGGAGTCTAATCTGAATCTCATGCAGCATTCCTCCATTCTTTTTAAGTCCAAAAGTTTTGTATCCCTGCAGCGGGCTAAGTGTATCCATACCTGTGTAGTGCAATCACTATCTCTCACGAGGAAAAATCAAGACACGTTCAAAGAAAGGTGATGATGTTAAAGGAAGAGCTTTTGACTTTGAAAGCCATTCTATTTCCACGTATCTTTGAAAGAAAGGATTGAAATACTGTTAACATATCAAGAAATAGTCTCGTAGGCGGCAGTATTTTATTGAACAAATATGGTGATATTGTTATTCCATGGATAAGAATTTCGAGTCTTGGAAAGTAATAGAAACAGTGTAAAATATTGATTCAAACATACTGATCCTATATTGTTTAGACACTCTGCAAGAGATAATCTTGCTCGAGATAGGATTATTAATTATACCATCAAAACTTTCCTCCAAATATAATGATTAGTCAATCAAGTTCAATCATGTGTGCTTTGTTCCAATTTTGATATCGATTGTTGTTTAACGATGACTCTTTTTTAAATTTCAATAGTAACGTTTTTTTTTCATCTTTAAATTATGTCAGACGAGCCCGTCTGTATTTTATTTACCCATGAATATTTGTTTCTCATTTAAAATTTGTACTTGAATATTTGTTAATGTTGTTATTATACACGGGTAAATTTACTAATTTTCTGGATGAAACAAGTGTACTATTCTAACTAAACAACAGGTAAATAGGTGGGGGTGAATGCCTACAAACTAACCAGGTAAATGGACAATCTACCACAGGAATATAGATTGAGTAGTCATCAACAATGGAGCCATTATAGGAGTCTTCATGCAATACGCGAAAAGAGTTTGAATTGGCCAAAACTATAATTAAAAAATGCCTATTAACTCTCCGCCAAGAAATAAATTACATATAACAGTCAAAAGAAGGGCGCAGTTATTTTACTAATATACCTTTATTATTCATAAATAGAAAAACGATAACAGGGAGCATTCCTAAAATCAAACGAACAAACAAACAACAAAACACAGAAAGACAATTACAAATGGAAAACTAATATGCAAATTCCAAAACGAAATGGCAGAAACCGTAGTCACGACCTACCAGAATGTTCATAAACAAATTGACTAAGAAAACATAAACATGCATGCATGCACCTACCAAGGCACACACGCACATATATTTCTTTTTTTGTTTTTTTTCGTTTT